CGCGCCGCTCTCTCCGCGCACTCAGCTTCGCTCCACTCACTCGTTCGCTCCGCTCCGCTCCGCTCCCTCGTTCGTTTCGCTCCGCTTCGTTTGCTCCGCTCGCTCTGCTTCAGCTCCGTCCGCTACACTCCCCTCGCTCTCTCCGCGCACTCAGCTTCGCTCCACTCACTCGTTCGCTCCGCTCCGCTCCGCTCCCTCGTTCGTTTCGCTCCGCTTCGTTTGCTCCGCTCGCTCTGTCCGTTCCGCTTCGCTCCGCTCGGTCCGCTCGGGTCCACAATCGTTGAGCTCCGATTGGCTCGTCCCAATTTTGGGCCTAAAGGGCCGAAGATCGTTGCGTCCTACGGCCCTGAGCCCTCTCGATCTTTCGTTTTTGACCCGAGGCTGTAGGCTCAACACCCTTTCGATTTTGAATCAGCTCCTGCGTAGACGATCGATTGTGGGGCGGAGACACTGCTATACAAGAGAGAGGCCGCACTTTTGTTCCAGTTTCAGGGCTGTGCGGGTTATCGCTGAAAGTTGGAGGGTGTGGTGCACCTGTGGTGCACCTGTGGTGCACCTGTGGTGCACCTGTGGTGCACCTTCGGAGGTCCGGGAGCTTCGGGAGGTCTGCCAGAGGTTTGTGCCAGAGGCTGGTGCCAGAGGCTCGTGCCAGAGACTCGTGCCAGAGGCTCGTGCCAGAGGCTCGTGCCAGAGGCTCGTACCAGAGTCGTGATGCACCTGTGATGCACCTGTGGTGCACCTGTGGTGCACCTTCGGAGGTCCGGGAGCTTCGGGAGGTCTGCCAGAGGTTTGTGCCAGAGGCTGGTGCCAGAGGCTCGTGCCAGAAGCTCGTGCCAGAGACTCGTGCCAGAGGCTCGTTGCCAGAGGCTCGTGCCAGAGGCTCGCCAGAGGCTCGTACCAGAGTCGTGATGCACCTGTGATGCACCTGTGATGCACCTGTGATGCACCAGCTCGTGCTCGAGGTCCGTGCCAGAGGCTCGTGCCAGAGTCTCGCGCCAGATTTTTAGGGTTGCCAGCCGTGTCGTGCGTGTGTGCTGATTTTGCAGATTTTGCGCATCATGGAACTGACACGAGTGCGAAGCCAGCTGAGAGCCCACACGAAGCCTTTTGCTTCAACTTGTTGTCCCCGCGCGCGCTGCTCAAGGTGAAGCCGTTGAGACGTCCATATTGGGTAGCTCATGGGCAGAACATGTAAAGACCCAAGGCACGCTAGCGGCAGGACATGCTCAGGCACAGACTTCAGGCCACAGTGGGGCAAGCAACAGCAACACGGAGACTTCAGATCCCGCGCTCGTGCTCATGCAAGGGTGGAGCTTGGCAGTCATTTTGTATGGCGTGCTGCTGGGCTTGAACCGTTTGGTTGCAGCTGGCGAGAGTGATGAGGAACAGTTTTGGGATGAGTTTTTGGCAAGGGAGCCGGAGGCCAGTGCGCCCGAGCTGGCGGATGATTCGTCATCTGGCTACTTGGCCTGGTGGCTGTCGCGGGTTCAGGACGATGACATGCCCCTGAACGGCAACAGCTCGGGCAGCAGCTCGGGCAGCAGCTCGACATCCGAGCCGGAGCTGGTGGCAGCAGTTGAGCCGCAGAGGCCAGCGGCGGCAGCCAGCAGCAGCAGTCAGCAGGCGGCGGCCCCGCCTGTGCCGAAGTCCAGTTCGATATGGGCTGCTGATGTGAAGAAGCCTCCGAGGAGACCGGCCCGTGAGCGGCAGCAGCGAGAGCAGGAGAAGCGGCGGCAGCAGGAGCAGGAGGACGCGGAGCGCGAGCACTGGGAGCGTGCTGAGCAGGCAGCGCGCGAGCTGCAAGCTTCGAGCCTGTTCAACCTGTCCCAGCTTCCGGCTTTGGCAAACTTGCTCCAAAGTATGGTGCAGGTTTCGCTACAGCTGTCGCAGCAGACGGCTCTTTTGTCTGCCCGCCATGAGCAGACAGAGCGTCGCTACCTGGAGCTGCTTCGGCGCCAAGATGAACTGCACCAGCAAAGGACCGAACGGGTGGCGCAGCAACTTTCCAGGGCGAATGAGCAATTGCTGAGTGTGATCCAGCATCAGATGGGAGCATCAATGAGCCCTGCTCCGCAAACGCCAGCTTTCAAGGGAGCTGGAACGCCGGCTCTTTCAGCTCCTGGAACGCCGGGCTTTTTGCCGCCACCTGCGATGCCTTTATTGGCACCTCCCGCGGCACCGAAGAAGCGGCGTGAACGCTGCAGGCAATGCGCGTCATGCCAGAAGGCCATAGTGGGTGGCCGAGTCGTGCTGAGACTCGATTGTGAGGCCTGGGGCACGAGCCAGGAGCCTCCTCCAGAGTCGCCGCTTCCGCCAAAAAAGAAGAGGACAAGGTCGGCTTCTCCGACGCGGGGTGACCCCTTGGGTGCCAAAGGCAAAGGCGACGATGATCCCGACGGTCCAGGCAGCCCCGGTGCGGGGATGGCTCCTGAGCAGGTTGTAGCCACCTAGCAGAGGGCAGTGCAGGCCGTTTGCCGGGGTTTCAGCTCGAAGCTGCAGGGCTCAAGGCTTCGGCGGGAAAGAGCGAGCAGCGCACAACACAAAGCACGGCACACAACCACAGCACACAGCCACAGAAGCCAGCCAAGCCCAGCGAAGCAGCGAGCACAGCACCCACGTGTCACAACGAGCCCCCCCCGTCACCCTAACGGAACCTGCTTCTAGCTTAACTAATTTACCTTAAAATCCTAGGCGTAGGCCGGGGGTTTGAGCAGGCTCCGTTAGGGTGCCGGGCGGGTGGCAACCAACGAGGGAGTGACAGTGCTTTCTTGTGAAAAGCGAGCCGCGATTTGGGGTGGTTTGGTTTGGTTTCGTTCCGGGAGTTCGGGGTCCCTAACCCTTTGTTCGGCCCCCCGGTAGGAGTGCCAGCCAAGTGCCCTGCATGCAAGTGAGTGCGCGACGAGCCCCACCCCCGTAGGCTGCCCGAACCCCGCGTCCCTGCCTTAGGTCCCGACCCCCTTTTGCTTCTGCCGCTGCTGCTTCAACTCTGTGCTCCATGCTGCCTTTCTGCTTCAAGCCGGGCCGGGGGTGGGCTGGGTGGGGCGGGCTGGGTGGGGCGGGGCGGGTGCGGCCGGGACCTCAGAGTGTTGCGGTAGGAGGGTCTTCACTAGGAGTGCAGGTAGGACTGAGTGCGCAAGGCTTCAGGGTTTCTTCGGGTTTTGTCTTGCAAGGTGGTTTGGGCTCCGAGGTTGCCAGGCAGTGTCTGTGTGCGCTCCCCTCCCCTCCTCCCCTGCCTCTCCCCCCGCCCAGGTCTGGACCTCCTCGCGTCGCGCCGGGCACTCCCACGCAGGCTTCAGGGATTCCGAGGCGGTTTGGGTTTGCGTAGGCTGCAAGGCAGTGGACTGTGCGCGCAAGGCTTCGGGTTTGGTTCAGGGTCACTTCGGAGGTTGGAAGGCGTGGGTTTCCGCAGGCAGCCAGGTCTAGAGTGCAGGCGCGAGGGTTTCTGCTGAGGGTTTTTGGGGTGGGGTTTTTAGGTCCCGAACCCCTTGGGGTACCCCTAGGCTGCCTTGCATCCGGGATCCCCGGCCCCCTCCTCGGCGCCCAGGTGCATCCGCCGCTGGGGCGTCGCGACTTCACGCGACGGTGAAAAAGAGGGGCCAGGGGGGCCGAGCGGGAGCACCACTCGCGAGTCCCGGTCCCCCCTGGCCCCGCCGTGCGCATCGGAATGGCGAGGGGCAAAGCCGAGAACCCCAAGGGAAGCCGAGGAGGGGGGCCGAGCGGGAGCACCACTCGCGAGTCCCGGGCCCTCCTCCCGGCACAAGCGTCATGGCGAGGGGCTAAGCCTAGGACCCCACAGGGACGACGCGACAAAACGACAGGCAGGCCGCGACGGATCGAGGAACGGGATCGTGTGGTGCACGATAGGCTCCACGGAGCGCCATCAGCTCCACGGAGCACCATCAGCTCTTCGGAGCACCATCAGCTCTTCGGAGCACCATCAGCTCTTCGGAGCACCATCAGCTCTTCGGAGTAGCATTGGGCCCAAGGGCCACCCAAGCCGGATTGGAATAAAAAACTCCTTGGAGCCACCTTTTTCCCCTTCTTATATAGGGGACCGAGGGGCTTAAATTGGCTGGGGGCGCACATCCTGGTCGAACCACTGGGCCCACGGGCCGGATCATTGGGGCTTCGTGCCCGGACCATTGGGCCCACGGGCCGGAACATGGGCCGGGGTGATGCACCGCCGCAGGTGCACCACAGGTGCACCACAGGTGCACCACAGGTGCACCACAAAAGCTCGGTTGGCACGATTGCTCCGGACGCTGGGCACCCTTCTATAGGGGGCACCTCAAAACCCAGGGGTGCACCACAAAAGCTCGGTTGGCACGATTGCTCCGGACTTTGGGCACCCTTCTAAAGGGGGCCCCTCAAAACCCAGGGGTGCACCACAAAAGCTCGGTTGGCACGATTGCTCCGGACGCTGGGCACCCTTCTATAGGGGGCACCTCAAAACCCAGGGGTGCACCACAAAAGCTCGGTTGGCACGATTGCTCCGGACTTTGGGCACCCTTCTAAAGGGGGCCCCTCAAAACCCAGGGGTGCACCACAAAAGCTCGGTTGGCACGATTGCTCCGGACGCTGGGCACCCTTCTATAGGGGGCACCTCAAAACCCAGGGGTGCACCACAAAAGCTCGGTTGGCACGATTGCTCCGGACTTTGGGCACCCTTCTAAAGGGGGCCCCTCAAAACCCAGGGGTGCACCACAAAAGCTCGGTTGGCACGATTGCTCCGGACGCTGGGCACCCTTCTATAGGGGGTCCCTCAAAACCCAGGGGTGCACCACAAAAGCTCGGTTGGCACGATTGCTCCGGACGCTGGGCACCCTTCTATAGGGGTTCCCGAAAGCTAGGTGCACCATAGGTGCACCACAGGTGCACCACAGGTGCACCACAGGTCAGGCTCGTTCGGTTGCTCGCTTCTCCCCTGCTGCCTTTTAGAAATTTCATTCCGCAGCAATTCGCTGATCTCCGAAACCGCCGCAGCCTTCAGAGTAACCGCGATGCCGAGCCAGCACGTGCCCGGAAAGGGATCTTTGCAGACGCTCCGCACTAAGGTGGAGACCGGCCACATGCGCTCCGCGAAGAAAGGCTGCCTCGGCCGCAAACTGACCGCAGAGGAGCTCGAGGCGTGCAAGCGGGAGCTCGCCGAGCTGGAGGCCAAGCGCAAGGAGGGCATGGAGCACCGCAAGAAGGTGGCGAAGGAGACCCTCCAGAACACGAGGGATCTCAAGCAGGGCCAGGCCGAGCTGAAGCAGGGCCAGGGCGAGATCAAGGACGGCGTCGGCCGCATCGAGCAGAAGCTCGACCGCATCCTCGGGGCCGAGGGCAGCAGCCAGCACCACAGGGAGCTGGCCAAGCAGGCGACCAAGCGCGAGCGCGAGAAGGCCAAGGAGGAGCTGAAGCGCCAGCGCGAGGATTCCAAGCGCAAACGCGAGGATGACAAGATCCGCCAGCTCCTTTCCGTCGGGCTGTCGATCCACTGTGTCGACCGCTTCGTGGACGGTGTGCTCATCAGGGGCGGCGTGCTGTCCCCGCAGTGCTTCGAGGTAGATGACCTTGGCGCCCCGTTCGAGCTGTGCGGCTTGGACTGTCGCCTGGCGGTGTTGAAGGGCACCATGGCCCTTGTCCAGGTCATGCAGTGGGAAGGGCGCACTTTCCCGGAGAGCGAGCTGAAGAGCCTGGGGCTTGAGAAGATGGAAGCCCAGCCGCGAAACGGCTTGCCTGGCATGGAGATCGTTTACGACGAGGAGAGCAAGGGGCTCATGTACAACAAGCCAATCGTGAAGACAGGAGCGGAACGTTGGATTCGAGTCACCGAAAGGTATTTCTTGGTCCGCCTCCTGATGCCCGCGTCGTGTGTGTTCGAGCAGCTGGCTCGCACCGAGGAGGCTGCCGAGCCAGCAGCCCAGCCAGCAGCCACGGAGCCCGCAGAGGCAGCGCCTGCAGAGGCAGCGCCCGCGGAGCAGCCGCCACCGGCGCCACCGGCCCCCAAGCCACCCTCCCCTGAGCCATTAAGCGCGGCTTACGAGCAGCTTCCCGAGATTTTGGTCCACGGGGTGCGCTGCAGCCACCTGGTGGCCGACTACTACATTGTCAAGGAAGTCGAGAAGATGCTCGACTACCTGCGGGGTGGCGAGGCCTTTCCCGAGCTGTTGGAGATCGTTTTGTGCATTGAGTCGACGAGCCCCCCTTTGGGTACCTTCTATGGAATGCAGTTGAAGCCGGAGAACCGCTCCCAGGTGCCGAGCACCTGCGCTCAGCTGCGCCTGAAGTTGACCTTCGAGCAGCCTGCCGAGCCCTCAGCCGCACCCATGGTCGAAGCAGCGCCCGCGGAGCCAGCGCCTCAGCCACCGGCGCCGCCAGCCGCCCCTCAGCCACCGGCGGGACTGCTGCAGTCCTTGCAAAGTGAGCTTGACATACACAATTGCAAAATACGGGTTTACAACGACTCGATCCCGGATGGCATGCAGGTTACCATCCGCGGGATGCGCTGCAGCTACCAGTCGGCCAACCACTACGTTGTCAAGGATGTCGAGAAGATGCTCGACTACCTGCGGGCCGGCAAGCCCTTTCCCGAGCTGCTGGAGATAGTCGTGTTCATATGTCCACAGGCTACTGGCCGCGAGCATCACATTGACATGCTGGGCATGCCTGCTTTCCGAGTGGTGATCAAGCCGGAGAACCGGTCTCAGGTGCCGAGCCACTTCGCCGAGCTGCGCCTGAAGTTGACCGACGACGAGAGTTGGCCCACCGCCGAGCCGGCAGCAGCCGAGGAGCCAGCCCCTCAGCATTTTTCCGAGAAGAAGCCCGAGGACTCTGAGGACAGCTCGACGCGAGCCGAAACGGAGCCCGCGGAGCTGCCTGCCATCCAGGACGCCGAGCCCGCAGACGAGGAGCCCGCCCAGACCGTCCGCATCTTCGGCGAGCAGGGCTTCGACGTCGAGATCACCGACAAAATCCTCAGTCGGGTTTCGGGCGACCTCTTCCACGCCGGGCAGGTCCTGGAGATTCTGGGGTTCAGGGCCACTTTGCAGCTCTTCAAGGACAGCCGCAAGCTGGGCACGCCCCAGATCTTCGAGAATGTGGTCCCGGAGATGGTGGATGACCGCCGCAGCGGCAAGGCCTTCAAGGTCGACGGCAGCATCGCCAAGGTGACGCGGGTCACTCTGCTCTTGGAGGCCCCCACCTTGCTCAACGGCTTCTGGGGCTACTGGGAGGAGGGCGACCGCCTGATAATCAGGGACTTCGAGGCGTTGCTCACGGCCGACCGCCCAGCCTATGGCGTGGGGACTGTCTTCACTCTCGACAACGACATGGAGATTTTCCAGCAGTACGATGCGAACACAAAGACCCTCCGCTGCCAGCGCGGGATCGACGTGCCCCTGAGCCGGGTGCTCCACATCCGATGCGACATGTGATCCGGAACGCAGCGCCCCGACGGACAGAGTGCGGCGCAAAAAGTCTTCGAGTGCAGTTTAGGTAGGTTCCAAGAAACCCAGGGATTGCAACACCGCAGCCTCGGCTGAGACATGGAGTGCCCGCGCTGCGGGAAGCGCTTCCCCCAGGCGTCGCGGCTCCGGGATCACATTGCTGCCGTGCACGAGGGCCGCCGGGAGCACGCGTGCCCCCACTGCCAGAAGCGCTTCGGCTTCGCCTCGGGGCTCCGAGAGCACGTTAGGCTCGCCCACGAAAACGTCCGGCCGCACGGCTGCGGCCTGTGCGGCCGGAGCTTCCACAAAGCCGCGGACCTCCGCGCCCACGCTGCCATCCACGAGCGCCGCGGTTTCGTGTACCGCAGCGGCCGGGAGGCGTGCGTGGAACGTCTGCTGCGCCGGGAGGAGCTGCCCTTCCGCGCGCAGCTTCGCGTAGATTTCACGGATGGCTCCAGCCACGGCGGCCACGCGCTGCTGGACTTCGCTGTAGAGCGCGACTGGGGGCTGATCGCCCTGGAGGTGGACGAGGGACAGCACGCCTCCAGGGAGCCGGCGGACGAGTGCCGCCGCATGGTCGAGATCTTCCGCTCGAAAAGCCGGCCCCCCGGCAAGCTGCGGTTCGTGAGGTACAACCCGGACTGCGGGCTGCACGTGGTGGAGCGCCACGGCCGGCTGCTGGAGGCGCTGGCGGAGCCGCCGCCGGCCGGCGACCTGGAGATCCTCTACTTGTACTACGACCTGCCGGCGCCGGGCGCTGAGCTGCCGAGCGTCTGCCTGAGGGCCGACTACTTGGAGGAGCTGAGGGCCGTGGCCCGCGCCTACTGAGGGGAAAAAGCCAGGACCGCTATAGGTGCACCACAGGTGCACCACAGGTGCACCACAGGTGCACCACAGGTGCACCACAGGTGCACCACAGGTTCTCGGCGCAGCCTCTTTGCTCATCCGCTCGCTCCGCTCGCTCCGCTCGCTCCGCTTCCTTCGGTCGTCGCCATGTTCTTCGAGAACCCCATCCTGCTGGAGTACTTGTACTCGCGGGATTGGCTCCTCGACGTGAGGCTCAGCCTTCGCCCCGACATTCGGACGCGGCAGGCGGACATGATCGCGAGCCGCATGATCGCTGCAGAGTCCCCCGAGCACCCGTGCTTGAAGATGGGGTCGGACGTGCTAGCGCTTCGCGCCACCAGCCGGGCCATGCGGAGGTTCTACCTGGAACCTGGACAGCAGCCCTGGTTTGGCCTCGACGCCTGGCTCGCCCGCATGCAGCGCTTCCGCCGCCTGGTTCACGACCGCTTCGTCTTCAGCTGCCTGCGAGGTTGCCGGGTGCTTCGCATCTACCTGGGAACCCTCTCCAGGGAGGCTGCCCGTCGCGAGGCCCTGAAGCTGCGCGCGATCAAGTTCTGCGTGGAGACGGCCCCCGAGCGCTCGGACCGCGACATCGCCAACTACAAGTGGCTCGAAGGGGCCGCCCCGTGCAGATTCTACGAGAGGCTGGAAGTCAGCTTCGAGGACGAGCGCCGCCTCATGGACGTCTGAGCCGAAGGCCCCGCCGGCGGCTAGGAATTGCACAGGCCTGCCCCGCCAGCAAAAAAAGGCGTCTCTGCAGGTGCACCACAGGTGCACCACAGGTGCACCACAGGTTCCCGCCCGCAGCCGTTTCAGCATCATGTCGCGCGCCTGGGGTTTCGAGCGGCTGCCTTCGGGCCTCCTGGACGAGATCGCCAGCTTCCTGCAGCCGCGGGAGTGGCTGGCCAGGCCCGACATGTATCTGGAGTCCAGGCGGCAGCTGTACTGCATGGCCGAGCGCATGTGGGTCCATGACCGCTACAACCACCAGGCCATGGTCTGCGGGCGGGACGTGCTGAGCTTCGTCGGCTGCTGCCGCTGGCTGCGCAACGACCGCCTCGGCGGCAGGACGCTGGTCTTCCAGCGAGAGCTCCACTACGCCATCATCTCCGAGTGCATTCGCTGCATGGAAGAGCGGGTGACCTGCCCGGCCCACGAGATCCGCGCGCTGGAGATGACCGCGGACCGCATGTCGCCGGCCCAGGGGCGCCGCCACGCCATGGAGCAGTGCCGGCTGCGGCCCGTGCTCCGGGACCGCATGGCTCGCTTCCGGTGCGACCACGTGGTGACGCAGATGGCGCTGCTGGACGCGATCAGGGCCGAGCCGCTGCCGGGCAAGATGGAGGAGCTCCGGGAAGGCGATGGCTTGGTGAGCCGGCTGATCTAGATCTAGGTAGGTTGCTAGGTAGGCGCACCGCACAGGCCTGCCCGCTGCCCGACAAAAGCGCGAGTAGGGTTGACAATTTCACGTGAGCAGTCGTGGGGGTGGGGGTGGGCGGTTGAAGTCTCTGAGCTGGCGCACGGCCAAGGGCTCCGGCCGCCGAGTCAAACGGGCCACGGGCTCGCTGCTGCCCCGGGGCACGGGCAGCGCGTGCTTGAGTAGGGTCTCGCTGCCGTCCGTGGCGCGGACCGTCATGGAGTCGAAGCTCGCCACGTCCCTCGCGGGGCCGTACTGTGGCTGGAAGCTTCGCGCCGCATTCGTCGGAGCGCGGAAGGCGCCGGCCTCCTCGAGGCGCCGCTGCCGGCCCTCCGTGAGCTCCTTGTTGTGCTGGAACTTTTCGGCGTTATCCTGGTAGACCCTGAAGCTGGCGGCCGGCTTCGTCTCCACGTCCTCGGGCGCCACCGTGACCGCCGCGTGCGGTCGGGCGTTGTAGGCCTCCGCCACCTCGTCCACGTGGTCCCCCCAGCCGCCGCCGCTGCGGGCCACCTTGCCCGCCAGGTCCTTCTTCAGAGTCTGGATGGCGCGGTCTATCACCGCCGTGGCGTTCCTGTCCGCCGGGTCTTTTTGGCGGTGCACCGCGCCTCCGGGCAGGGCGGCCTCGAGCCCCCGGAACTCGTTCCCTTGATCCGTGGTGACGACGTAGTTGCCCTCCTCCTGGACCAGGTCGGGGATGATCTCCGCCGCCGCTCGGGTGACGGTCTCGGCCCGCTTGTCGGGCAGGGCCTTGGTGGCCACCTCCCTCGTGAAGACATCCGTGACCACCAGGCCGAACTTGTTCCGGCTCCGGGTGTTCTGGCTGAAATCGATCAGGTCCGCCTGCAGCCGGTCGTTGGGCCCCTCCGCTGCGCTCTTCCCGAGACTTCGCGGCTTGGGCGCCAGGACCTGCCGCGCCACGTCGCTGCGCAGCGCCGCCGCGGCGCGCGCGCTCGTGAGGTCGCGTCGCTCCGGGAACTCCCGTCGAGCGATCTGGTAGAGCTTTCGAGGGTCTCTGACGTTGAAGTCTCTAGCCAGCCTCCCTAAGAGCTCCATTGCACCGTCCTCTGCCATTTTACTGAGGTGCATGCGCTGCTTTCGTGCAAAGGGCTGCAAACGGCAAGGCGCGGCAGGGGCTGGGCGGGGTTCCTGCTTGATGCGCTCGCCCTGCCGCCAGGATGTGGTCCATTGGCTGACGCGCACCTGCGCTCGCTACCGGGCACCGCAAGGCTGGCTGTGGGCGATTCGGACGCTGTGATCAGCTTCTCAGGCGACGCCTATGACCGCACCGCCTTCTCTACGAGCGGAAGGTGCCTCGGCTGCGCTTTTGTCGTCTCAGTCCGAGTCTCCCTTGCGAGCCTTCTTCTTCTCGAGCTTTTCGACCCGCTTTTGCAGCTTCTTACACGTCTGCCACAGCACCGCCGTCATCCGCTGGTAGTCTAAAGTCATGAGCTCCCGGTCGTCGAAGTTCCGGAGCTTGCAGAAGCTCTTGCCCAGCCGGCCCGACGCGTCCACCTCCTGGGCTACGAAGCCCACCTGGTCGGCGGCGCCGTCGATGCGGTCGTAGCTCCGGGCCTCCACGCCGTCGAAGAGCTCCTGCGCCTCGTCCTCCGATACCGGCCGGACGTTCGTCTTGAGCCTCTCGTCCGAGAGGTTCTGGAAGCCATAAAAACAAATGACTTCTCCATTGTTGGAGCCGCCTGTGTTCGGCTCGATGACCAAGTTCGCCGTGCTCCCCGTAGTGTTCAGCGCGATGGTCTGGTCCAGGGCGTTGAGCTGCGCGCCGCCGTTGGCCAGCGCCACGAGCTCGCAATTCCCGCCGGCCGGGGCGTTGTTCTGTGTGCCCAGGAAGAGCCGCGCCACGCCCGTCGGGGCCTGGTTGATGACGGCCAGCTCGCAGAAGCCGCCGGGGTCCCCGAGCCCCGTGACGGCGGCGAACTTGGTGTTCAGCTCCAGTCCCGTGGTGCCGCCGGAGAGGTACAGGTAGGGCAGGCTGGGCTCGGGCGCGATGGCGCCGTTGACGAGGAGGGTGTCGTTGACGAGCACGCCCTGGACGCCGCCCTCGATGCTGAGCCAGGGCGCCGCCGGGTCGCAGCGCACCAGCGGGGCTTCGACCCGCAGGTTGCTCACGACCTCCAGGTTGGCCGTGACGCTGCTGCTCGAGTTGAAGGTGCCCGTGGCGGCGACGCTGCCCACGAGCAATTGTGCGAAGTCAGCCGTGGTGGCGTTCAAGGTGCTGGCCGCAGCCACGGTCACATCCCGGTCCAGGCCGATGCCTCCGTCGGCAAATGAAGCCAGCAGCGCCCCGTCCTCTTTCCGGACGGTGACCAGGGCGTTCTGGACCTGCAGATCCCCCGCAGAGCTCCGGAGCTCGGGCGTGTCCACGAAGCTCGTGGCCGTCAGGGAGTTGACCGTCAAGTCGGCGGTGGGGGCGACCCCGCCGCTGTTCTCCAGAGTCGTGACTCGAGTGTCGAGGTCCGGCACCGTGGTGTTCTCCAGGGCGGTGACGCGGGTGTCGATGCCATTGACCTGGGAGCCCAGGCTGTTGAAGGTGGCGACCAGAGGATACCGCCCGTCCGACTGGCCCTTGCTCCAGCAGTCGCAGGAGATCTGGAGGGTGCTGCCGTTGCCCAGGATGGGCTGGGCGGAGAGGGGCGTTTGGCAGAGCAAATTGCGGATGATGTTCGGAGTGAACTGGGTCTGCGCCAGGTTGAAGATGCCTCCTCCCTCGGCGCCGGGAGTGGTCACGAAGTAGCGCGCATCGAGCGGGCCCAGGTCGTTCGTGCGCAGGAACCGGCCGTCCGCCTCGGCCTTGGACCAGGAGTCGCTCCGGATGCGCAGGGTGGACTGGTTGCCCAGAATCGCGTCGCCCACCAGCGGCGCCTCCAGCAGCAGGTTGCGCACGATGCGGGGCGTGAACTGCTCCTGCACCAAGTTGAAGATCTGCCCCGACTCCCCGCCGGGAGCTCTCACGAAGTAGCGGGCGTCCCCCGCCGTTTGGTCCAGGAAGCCGGCGACGGCATCGTTACCCTGAGTCTGCTGTTTACCTAATTTTACACTTTGGCTTGATTTACTGTAAACGAAGGATTTAGTGTAAAATGACCAAATTTACGTAAATTTTCTGGTGAGCTAAAAACATGACAAAACACATAAAAACATTATGCAAACACAAACATGGAACTCATATTTGCGGCTGCAAACTTAGACACCACATGTAAAGGATTTAAAAAAATCACCGGCATGAGTTTGTTTTGCTCTGCAATCGCAGACACCACATGTAAAGGATCCACAGCAGAAGTAAGGACTTTTCCGAAAATTCGCAGGCCCAAAGCCATAAACTAACCAAAGAGAATCCATGCAGATTGCTTATAAGATCCACACCAGTATATACGACAACTGTGATTCAAAAGCCCAAACAAAAGACCAGGAGCACCACATATAGCAGAGAGACACTCTTTTTTTTCGCGACAGAAAAGAAAGAAGCTCTCACGATCGCCCAACTTTGCCCCGCAGAAACAAAAGGTGCCTCTCTTTGAGGGCAGCCTTTTTGGAAGCATGCCAGTGCTTC